GCCTCCGAACTGCCCTGCCGATCCCAACGCTAAAGTTGAAACGAACCCGCCCCCGTGCGCCTGAGCAGCAGCTGGCCGCTTCATGCCCATGCTCTTCCCGCCCTTGGTCACCGTGGAGGCAACCTTGCCGTTCGTCTTCAAGTACTGCTCGTACAGCACGTCCCTGTTCCCGTAGAGCTCGTCCTTCTTGATCTCGTTCTCCGCGTACCGTTTGGCGACCGTCGTAATGGGGCGCACCGCGTCCTCCTCGCTGTGGAAGTTCTTGAGGGCAACCATGCACACCTGGCCCTGCTGCTCGTAGAGCGAAATGAGTGGATGCCTGTCCGCGCGGTGCTTCACGTAAAGCTTGTGGTGGGTGATCGAGTGTTCGCCTTCCCAAAGGGCCTCGCGGCGGACGCCGCCACTGGACCACGACTTGTACTCGTCGACGGTGACGGCTGCGACCTTGAACTCAGCCTGGTTGTGCTTGTCCTTCCAGTAGGCGATGATCGGGTCGGTCCCAGCCGCGCCCTCTGGAACCCGCAAGCCAGTGCAATATTCTGGCTTCTGCTTCCCTTTGCCATGTTTCTTGGTGCGGCACGCCCGCTTGAGGTCCTTGTCCCACTCGTAAGTGAACTGCTCGGCTTCAGCTTGTTCCTCCGCCTCCTCGGCCTCGCCGTCGTCCTCCTGGTTCCAGGGAAGCTTGAGCACCCACTGCGGCTGCGGCTGCTTCAGCTCTCCCTGAAAGAACTGTGTTGCGTTCCATGCCGCGTCCTCCTCCTCTTCCTCCTCCTCCTCCTCCTCCTCCCCCTCCTCCTCCCCCTCCTCCTCCTCTCCTAAGCCTTCCCCTCCTCTCCTCCTGTCTTTCCCTTTGTGCCCTCCGACTCACCGCGCCATGTAGGTTCAAGTATCCCATGGGTCCGAACTCAGAAGCAAGCAAACGAATCAATGTCTGTAGCGAGTAGCGCCTATCGTTCTCGATCGGTGCCCTTGAACCCCCAAACAGATCAGACGAGAAGGAAGACACATAAAAACGAGTGTCCTGCGAAACAGACCTGCAGATGTTGGTCAACCTGCACTTCATCACGTTGAGGTAAGACTCCTTGTGCTCCGCCTTCACGCCCCATTTCGAGTCCTCTTTGAACCTCTCCAGCAGCAGCTCGATCGCATCCTTGAACTGGCTCTTGTTGAAATTCATCGATGGGTAGATGTCGTGCAGTGCTGCAAGCAAGGCATGCTGATTACTGACCTGATCGACCTGGAGCTTGCTGAGAGCAACTTTCTCATTCTCGTCGTACTTGACGAAGTTTCTCCCTAGAGACTTCACCGTGTCAGCTATAGCATCAGCGATGTCCTGTCCGTTTCCTGGATAACTCGGCCTAGCCTTGGGTGGCATATCGCTCGAGCTTGGATGCCTCTCGGAAGGTTCGCGGGGTGTTTCGAAGCATGAGAAACCCTCCTCCTCCTCCTCCTCCTCCTTTTCCTTCTCCTCCTCCGCATCCTCCTCTTCGCCCTCCCCCTCCCCTTCCTCCTCCTCCACGTCCGCCTCCTCATCCTCCTCCGCCAGCTTCTCCTCCCCCCTCCTCCTGCTGCTGCTGCTGCTCCTCCCCCTCGGGCGCACTTTGACATCGGGGGAAGGGTGGTCGCTGAGACTCGCTGTTTGTCATCGCCGTGTTCGTGGAGAGGGGAGGATCGACCCAACTACATGCAATCCCTCAGCCGAACGCGAGTGCACCCAATTAAGACAGCCAGGGTTGCACGGAATACAAGTTGATCGGGCCCCCGAGACAACGCCCAACACCGATAGAACAGACAACAACATATTTTGCGTGCTCGTTCGCAATTTGGTCGAACTCGTGTGCAACGAATCGCGCGTTTTTGTACCCAAAAGGCATCATCAATGATGTTCGCCGACGAGCCCAGCGAAAATGGCCCCGCTACCAGATGTTGGCCCCGATGCAAGAAATATATCTTACATGCAAGATCTATAATGCTGTAAGAAATATTTCTTGCATGCAAGATCTACCCACCCATCTGGGCACGGGCCCCGCGCGGCCTGCTCCCCGACGCTCGCCACCTTCGCCCGGGAGTTCGGGATGCGTGCGCTGGGGAAAGGCTTGCCCATGGAGCTCGGCGGGGCCGCGGCGTCGTCGGGGCGCGGGAGGGCGATGTTGAATGGCGGGGCAATTGAAAGGGCGCCCCGACGTCGGCGAGAGACGGGGGGCTCGTCTTCGCCCGGGGGCGGGCGCGGAAGGGGGGCGGGGGTCCTTCAGCTTAGCCCCGTCTGTCCTGGTGCGACGCGCACTGGGCGATCCTTCCTGTTGTCGTCGAGCGCCCATTCGAACTGGAACTCTTCTGCCTGCCCCTGGGCCGGGCAGAGGCCGTAGAGCTCCGCGGAAGGGAGCGCGATGGGGGGCCTCTTCCGCGTCCGGGCGCTGGCAGAGAACGCGAGATACACAGAGGAATCGTTGTATATTGTCGCCGGCGCAGCCGAAGTAACACTCCCAAGCGAGGCGGGGCGGGGGAAGAGGGCCCGCGCCACGCGAGCGCTGTCGCGCGCCGAGCCGGGGGGGGCCCGAGGAAGCCCGTCAAGTGAAGCGCCTCAGAGCCGCAACGCCCCCCCCCCCGCGGGCGCCCGGGAAAGGCGGGGCCCGGCGGTCCGCCGCGCGCAGGGGGGGGGGGCTGACCAACGTAGGCACCAGAAATGAATAGAGAACGCGGAGCGCCCCTCATGCCCTCGCCTCCCGGCAAGCGAGGCGGCGCAGGGGCTGGGGCCAATTCGGCGACGCGGGTCCAAATCGTCACCGCCGTGGTCGCGGGCGCGCCCTTCTCTGCAGACGCGGTGAGCTACCTGGGCAACAACTGTTTGAGCAAGGAGTCGGCCCAGCGAGGTCGCTGGGGCACGCCCGCGTCGGGGCTTCTTTCTCGGGGCGCGCCCCGATGGCTGGCGCGGGCGCTCTGGGCCTCGCGGGCGCCCGGGCCCCAAGCGAAGCTTGCTCGACTCAGGGGCGGGGCCCCGCGGCAGCGGCCGCCTTGGAGCTGGGCGCGGCGGCGCCCTTGGTCGCGGCAGCATGCTTCGGCGGGGGCGCCGCCGCCAGCCCGCTGGCCGCCGTCGCGCGCTTGCTCTTTGGAGGCGAAGCCGCGGCCGCCAGCTTGAACGGTGAAGCCTGCTTCTCCCCGCGCGGGGCGCCGGGGGTCGCGGCCGTGGAGGCGCCCGCCACCGCGGCGATCAACCGGATGCTGTCTGGGCCGCAATCTCCCATGTCGCTGTTAGCTGGGATGATGGCTGAGGCGCCCAAATTGGCGCGCGCTTCCGCGCTCTGATAGTCGTCCTCGAATTTGAGTTCCTTCAGTGTGTCCTGGATGGCGCTCACCCGACCATTACATGCGGCCACGAAGTGATGTCCATAACAATGTAACACGCCACGGATGTGGCCCATGGCCCAGGATCCGAAGTAAGAACCGGGGGTTGCGTCCACGAAAGAACCCGGATGTGTCACTGGGCACAGGTCGCCCAGGCCCATGTGCTGAAGCAGAGGCACGCCCTCTCCTGTGCTCATCCAGTACGGGACGCGGCATCCCTCACCGACTCCGTCCGCTAGAGCGTCCTCTTCGTGATGGTGAGGACGCGCTGTGGGATCGCCATGCTGTCTGGCGTACGCCCGACAGTGCATAGGAAGTTCTGAGCATCCTGCTTGGTGACGGTCGAGCGCTCCACGGGCTCTGGCTGCGGCGCCGGGTCAGCTTCCTTGTCGGCCTGCTCCTTCCTCAGATCGGTCGCTTCCTTGCAGAGCACGGCTATGGCGTCCCAGTCCTTCCTCTCGGTGGCGGTGGCGAACTCAGCTTCGATATGCGCGATGGTGCGCTGCGGGGCTCCGGCCTCCATCGACGACTCCGGCGCCTTCTCCTCGGGCTGCGGCGCCTCCCAGGCCGCCTCCTCTTCGCTGTTTGGCTCGAGGTCGACGGCGCCCCAATCGACCTCGCTGCCGGGCTCCACGTTGCGAGGCATTGGCAGGTGTGCGGGCGGCGGCGCAGGGTGCTCACAAGTCCCGACCGGATGTGGAATGAGTGCTTTCGCAATCGCTTCGTGATCATGGTGGGCCCCCTCGCCCTCACCATCGTCTTTGATTTCTACAACAACATTTGGGCTGGGGGTCAAACGATTCACTGTGTTCAAGTCTGGCCGACCTCGGGCCGCCATTCTCGCCGCCGTTACCTTACGAGACGACGAAGAGGATGATGATGATGATGATGATGATAATAATAATAATAATAAAAAAATAAATAATAATAATAATAATAATAATAATAATAATAATAATAATAATAATGATAATAATAATAATTATTATTATAATAGTAGTAATAATAATACGAATAATAATAATAATAATAATAATAATAATAATAATAATAATAATAATAATAATAATACTAATGATGATGATGAGGATGAGGATGAGGATGAGGATGAGGATGAGGAGGGAAAGGAGGAGGAGGAGGAGGAGGAGGAAGAGGAGGAGAGAGGAGAGAGGAGGGAGGAGGAGGAGGAGGAGAAAGGAGGAGGAGGAGGAGAAGGAAGAGGAGGAGGTGACGGAGGAGGAGAAGGAGGAGCACAGGGAAAAGAAGAGGAGGAGGAGGAGGATAAGGAGGAGGAGGAGGAGGAGGAGGAGGAGGAGGAGGAAGAGGAGAGGAGGAGGAGGAGGAGGGAGGAGGAGGAGGAGGAGGAGGAGGAGGGAGGAGGAGGAAGAGGAGGAGGAGGAGGAGGAGGAGGAGGAGGAGGAGGAGGAGGAGGAGGAGGAGGAGGAAGAAGAGGAGGAGAGGGGGGGCGCCCTGCCGCACGGAGTGGGCGTGGCCTCAGATTCCTTCCGCTCGCACAGGCGACAGCAGGCCCCCAGGAGCCTCCCTCCCTCCCTCCTCCTCCTCTTCCTCCTCCTCCTCCTCCTCCTCCACCCTCCTCCTCATCACCGCAAGGATTGATGCCTGTGCAGCATTGCATCAGGCGTGGCGGAGAACAGGAAGGCACAGAACACAGGGGTAAACACACGGATAGCATTCAAAACCTCTCAGCTTTCACAGAGCACCGCACTAAGTCTGCCGACCCCTTGTGGGTCTCTAGGCGTGTGAGATAGTTCCCCCCTCCATATCCCCCCCCAGGGATCCCAAACCGGAGATTCGACCCCCCCCCGCCGACGACGAGCGACTCACGGGGCTCTTCTGGGCCCAGAAGGGGCTCAAGACAGGCCGAGAAGGCCCCAAGACGCCTCCAACACGGCCCACGAGGGCCCCGACACGCCAAACGAACACTCCAAGACGCCCACGATGGCCCAAAGACGAACCAATAGGCCTCCAAGACGGCCCAAGAGGCCTCCAAGAGCAGTCCCCAGAATGGCTTCAGAGCCGAAGCTCGTCAAATTCCCAGGGGAAAACGTACATTTTGATCATATACGACCTGTCCGCCTCCGCGGCGTTCCAGACGGTCCAAAAACACTCCATGACCGTCCCAAGGCGGCCCAAGAGGCCCCCAAGAGGCGCCCAAGCTGGCCCAAGAAGGCGCCAAGACAGCCCAAGAGGCCCCCAACACGGCCCAAGAGAGCTCCAAGACGGCTCCAAGAGGGGCCCCAGACGGGGAGCCCGAACCGATAATCCGAGCCTTTCGCCCCAAGACGGCCCTGGAAGGCCCCAAGAAACCCCAAAAGGCTCCCAAGACGCCCCCGAGAGGCCCCAAGAGGCCCCCACGACGCCCCAAAACGGCACCAAAACGGCCGTCAAGAGGCTTCGAAACTGCCTCCAAAAGTCCCGCGAGAAGCCCCGCAAGAGATCCCAGCGATCACTGCACAAGCGGGATTCGCGTTCCCGAAGGCAAGAACCCATAATCCATGACCCAGATCATTTCCTCCTCCTCCCCCTCCCCCTCCTCCTCACCCGCCTTTTTTCCACCTCGGCCTCCCAGTGGCTTCCATTTTTTCCACAAGCCCCCGAAAGGCGTGCCGCGAAATCCCGATACACATACAAGAACCGCCCACCCATAGACCACAACCAAGAGCCTCGTCTCAGTGTCCCTCTCCTTTTCCTCCTCCACCCTCTCCTCGCGCCCCTCCTGCTCGTCCCCCTCCTCTTTTTCCTGGCCCGCTTCACCTCGTCATCTTCGATGATTATCCCCCGTATCCTCCGCCTCATCCCCCAATCTCCTGTCCCCGTTCTCCTTCTCCCTCCAGTGCCCGATCCGGCATCATTTGCAGGTCTTGCACTTCAGGGTGTTTTTTTTTGCGTCGCGCGGGACATTGCGCGGGTCGGGGAACGCCGACTTCGGCAGTCTTCTCTTGCACGCGCCGCTGCGCTGATGCGCCTGCCCCCCCCCCGTATCCTCCGCTTCGTCCCCCAATCTCCTGTCCCCGTTCTCCTTCTCCCTCCAGTGCCCGATTCGGCATCATTTGCAGGTCTTGCACTTCAGGGTGTGTTTTTTTTTGCGTCGCGCGGGACACTGCGCGGGCCGGGGAACGCCGACTTCGGCAGTCTTCACTGGCACGCGCCGCTGCACTGATACGCCTGCCAACTGCGGGCTGTGAACCCGAGTTCCTTGCAGCCTCCGCACACCACCTTCGATCCTTTCGCCGCTCGATGATCTTTCTCTTGCTTATGCTTCACATGTCTAGTGTCCGAGAACGCTTCTCCGCACACCACGCACGTCAGCGGCTTCGCCTCCGCCTCGGCTTTTCGTTTGAGATTCCCTGCCTCGCAATTCGTCCGCAAAACCGCCTTCTCCCGTTCTTCCGCGCACTTCCGACACAATCTCTGGCCCGCTGCGTTGTGCTTCTTCTGGGCTTCCGACATATCCACCTTTTCGTCATGCAGCGAGGGGCACGTCCCGTTCGTACATCGCACTGTTCCGACTCTCTCGTTCCACTTCGCATTGCCTTTCCGCGAATTCTGCTGGGCTTTGACATGGCTGCACTTCCCGCGATACACTGTCCTAATCCTTTTCGTCTCCCCGTCGTCCGCCGCTGAAACCGAATTCCGACCACTGCCGCGCCGTGCCGCGTCGTCACCCTCTGCTCTCGTTGCCCACCCCCCGCGCGTTGTGCGCCATTTCTCGTCTGCGATTTTCATTTCCTCCGTGCGCTCTTTGCAGAGCGCCGGCCTGCCCCCTCTCTGGAATTCATACTTCGGGAACGCCTCTACCAACAACCTCCGCCGGCAGCGTTCGCACTGGTCCCGTGGCATTAGTACCGCCTCCCACTCATCCCAATTCACATTCTTCCCGCGAAGCACCTGCAACGATTTCTGCGCGCCGGGCATTCCTCCCGCGTTGTGCGGCTTCCTGTCGAAAGGCGTGAAAATCAACAAATTCTCCCGCTTCCGCACGCGCGTGATGGCAACGTAACTCGACATCCAACTTACGCCGCGCCCTCTTTCGAGGTCCGCAATCACTGCGGCCATGGTCCGGCCCTGCGCAGAGTGCGCAGTTACTGCCAAAGCCGGGGTGATCATGAACTGCGTGCGTTTCACGCATAATACTGGATGCTTCCGATACGCGTCCAAGAACCATTGCCGTCCTCTCGATGGAGAGATCGGATGCAGCCCCGGCTCCCACCCTGGCAGGTGCCACTCTTTCGTATTGAAGTCCAACGCAATGACTCTGGGCAGATGCATCAATACTTCCTCTTCTTCATCACCCACGACCTCATCCTCGTGCAACGCCGATCCATGTATCGTCGCTGCGCGACCCCGCAGAAGCTGCTTCTTTGACCGATCCAAGTGATCACCCAGAGCCACGGGCATGTCCTTGGCGAACGGCAGCCAGCCCAGCAAGCTTGCGCACTCCTTCTCGTGGTACCCCAGCAAACGTATCTTATCCTCCACCGTGTACGGCCACCTCTGTTCCCCCCCGTGGCAAGGGCGGTCCCTGGCTGCGACCCGCGGCAGCTGTTCTCCTCGCTCCTTCGCCCGCTGCGCAGCTCTCTGCTTCCCGACGTGGCAACGAATGTCCTGGTTCGCGTAAATGGCGACAGCTTCCAGGAACTTCTCCTCCCGAAACCGCGCGTCTTCTGGCGACGTGGCAACGAGCTTTCTCTTCTCCCGCTCAGTTTTGCAAGCGTCACATTCGAGCTCGTTTTGCTTCGCAATTGCCTCTATGTCTTCGAGACAACGGGCGTTTCCGCACAGCGGAGACCGTTCACCCACGACCCCGGAACATCCGTCGGTTTGCCATGCAACAAATTGCGCGCGCGTTCGGACAACGCCCCTCGGCGGAACTCGTCCTGCACTGCGAGAAACCAATCGTCTTGATCCTCCACGCGCTTGCATTCCGTCAACTCTGTCATTTCTTGCACTGCTCCTTCGCCTCCAGCACCCCAGAAGATGTACTGACCGTGGTCCTCCCTGGCACACGGCGCGTACTTCCTCGCTTTTTCTAAAATACGACGTGGGGAGCGAATTGATTGCCGTCCCTGATGGCGGCTCCAATTGATAGAAGTCACCGCGGAACAGCACATTCACGCCCCCGAAGGGCCTGGCAATGCCGTCTCCGCCTACGTTCGTCTCACTTGCAGCTGATGTGCGCGACCGCAAGTGCGAGTCCAGCTCTGCAACAAAGCTCGCGCTGACCATGCTCACTTCGTCCACAATCAGCCACTTCCACTGTGACATACGCTGCGCCGCTCGCTCTTTCTTTGGTTTCTTCCTCGTTTCTGCGATGGCATCGCCCGCCGCGCCCTTCTTCTCTTTCGTATTGTTCACACCGAGTCCACATGCACTGTGAATCGTTTTCCCGTCCAGAGCTGACGCGTTTGTAGCCTGCAACGCTGATACCTGGAAATCTATACCGTGCATCCACCCCAACTCCTGTTCGAACAGCCCCTTCCGTGTCTTATCGATGGCGAAACTTTTTCCGGTCCCCGGGCCACCATGCAACATCCACACGAGAGGCTGCATATCAGAACGGCTCTGGCTTGTTTTCTTGCCGCTCGCGGAAATCCCGAATTCTTGCGCCAACACACGGTCTGCCACCTTCTCCGCGATGCTACGCTGTCCCGCGTTCAACCCGCTGTCCGCAAGGCCATGTCTCCATTTCCGCACACTCGACGCAGTGGCTTCTTTGGCCGCCACCGCTGCTGGGGCGCCTTCCTCTCCAACAGCGCCGCTGCCTTCTGCGGCCCTCGACGCCGCGGCCACCGCTTGCGCCTTCTGCACGGCCGCGCCATCCCACCTCAACACACCGCCCCCCCCCCCCGCGCTTCCTGCGCTTTCCACTCTTTCGACTCGGTCTCTCGCCCCACGCGGCGTCGCCCCTGGCCATGGCCTCCCGGCTCTTCTCCTTTTCGCACTCCGCGTCTACATCTGTCCGTCGGTCCTCTTTCTCCATGGACGTGCCTCCCGCGCGCGTCTTGCGCCTGGTCGCCGCGTCGACAATTCTCGGATCCAGTTCTTCATCGCTGTGCAGCTCGTCCTCGTGCTTCACTAGATCTTCGTCCGTGACTGGTCGCAAATCCACCACGCCCGTGTAGTTCTGCACGTACCTCTTCGTTTCTTCACACGGCGCCCCTTTCCTGAGCCACTCCAAAGACGCCTCCGCCCACGACCCCTGCGCTCCGCGGAACTCCCGCAGATGCGGCACTCCACGGTCGACATCGTCACGAAGTGTGAAGGCCCGGAAGTACACCATCACCAAGAGCGCGTTCCTATCCTCCTGCCCCGCCCCGTGTTTCGGCTGCCGCGCTCCATGAAAACTGGGGTCTCTGGGGCGCTCGTTTCGCACAGGCACCCGCGTGTGCCTCAATATTTCCAGTTCGCGCATATCTGGAAACGGGACCCACGAATAACTTCCCCAGGCCCCCTTGATCACAGTTACTCCACTCCAGCTCTCAACTGAGGTCCGCCCTGCGCACCGCTGTCGTCAGCATCCGCTCTCTGCTGGTCTGCTCTGCGGATCTTCTGAATACCAGACTGCGTAAGCTGCGCCTGGTACTCATTGCTGGCCGCGGCTGCCAGCTCTGCTCCGCTGCGAGGAAATGCTGCCAACTCGATGCGCCAGTATCGCAAAAACTCGCACA